CAATTCTGGAGGCACCATTTGATGAAGAGTTATCTCTTTCTCATTGAATGCTTTTTGGTCCTGTGTAAAAAATTCAGTTGTCTATAGATAGATTTATTTCTGAGTGTTCTATTCTGTTCAATTGGTCTGTGTACTAGCACTAGACTTTTAACTATGGTGGCTAAGTAATACATTTTCTAGGTAGAGAGACATCTCCTTTAGTTCTTCCAATTTTTTGCTTATTCCGGGTCTCTTCTTTCTCCATATAATGTTGGTAAGTCGTTTTTCCATTTCTTTAAAAAATGAAGTTGGGATGTGGATCATAATTGTATTATAGATTGTATTGGGTAATATAAACATTTTCACAACGTTAAGCCTTCTTATCCATGACCGTGGAGCATTCTTCCATTTATGTAGGTCTACTTTGGTTTCTTGGAATAAAAGCGTTTGGTAGTATTCCTTGTACAATTCTTTTGTTTTTCTGGTTATGTTTATTCCCACATATTTTATATTTTGTGTGGCTATTGTAAATGGTATTGTTTTCTTAATTTCTTTTTGTTAGCATATAGGAATCCAGTTGATTTTTGTGTGTTTATCTTGTATCCTGATACATTGTGGAATCTTTCACTTGTTTTCAACATTTTTTATTTTTTGTCAAGTCTTTGGGATTTTTGATACATAAAGTCAAAATAGAACTTCACTTTGTGTTAGTCTGGGTAGACTAGAGAAAAAATTCATAGAGACACTCATATGTGTATAAGAAAGAGCTTTCTATACAAGAGCAATTAAATATTGAGAAAACATTCCAGCCCTGTCCAGATCACGTCCATATGTCCAATATTAATCCATATGTCCAATACCAATCTATAAAGTCCTCTTCAGACTCACTAAACACACTTTATATTTCAAATCACCACATATATAACTAAATACCAAGCCTATCATTACATGATAAATGCACATTCAAACTATAAGTACATCCAAATGTTTCCATTTTACATTAAAACATTTATTTCTGTTCAATATCACTAATATTTATATATAAGCATGCAAACACACAGACATATACATAGTATTTGGTGAGTTATGGTTGGCATTCATACTTTCTTATAACACATATTTCTGTGTTTAGGAGATTTTATAACAATAAATTCTACAAGTATTGGAAAAGAAGCATGAAGTAGAAACAAGTAATTGAAGTAAGAGTAGCTTTAAATTCTCCTACTTCAAAAGTAGAGAGTATTTAAGATTAATTGAAAACTTATTATTGTGGAGTTTATTTTGGAAGATGTGTGGGAACAAGTTTGCTGAGTTATACTCATATAGGATAATGTAGCTAGTGCCTATTCTATAGATTAATAAATTTCCTGCAGAACAACTCAGCAAAGAAAACTATACATAAGGGTAAGTTCAAGAAGAAAAATCCTGTGGTAGAGAACCATTATTCAATGTTCCAACTTTATTTCTTCATCATGGTACATACAGTTTTAAATTTAAATGTATTCATATGTAGCATAATATTTCCTACTGAATGCTTGACTAGATACCAAGGTATAGAGTTCCAGAAATTTTAATGTATGCTTCAAACATCTGGAGTTCTACATATGGGGAATATACAGCTGTGTTTATTTTGGTGATTACACATTTACTTCCATACAATACATTTATTTAAATGTGTAATCTCTTATATATTTGAGAATATTCAAACAAATGCCTTTTCTGTATTTATTTGAATGTAAAATTGAAGGATTCAAATAAATACATTTACCACTTAAAAATCTTACAAAATTTATTTATATAATGTACTTATTAATATACAATTATAGCTCTTTCTTTTTATTCTAAAACCAAATATTTTTTAAAAGACTAAAGACACATAATTGCCATCATAAGTTAAATAAATCAAGAAATTTTGTAGCGAAGCATTCATAGCAAGATTTCAGAAGAATACAGAAATTCAGCAGGACAAGACAATAAAATCATTTGCAATTGGAATGTATTTGTTTAATTCAAACAATTTTGTTACGGTCTAGAGGACATAGTAGTTGGAGCTCAGAGACTTTGTGCATATGCATTTTTGTTTCTTACTACTAACATATTAGACAATATGCATTTACTTTATATTGGTTTATTGTAAGATGAGAGAGCATTTTCAGTATTGCAAGGTGCGTCCTTAACCCTTCTTGACCCCAACAATTATTCTGGTTAAGGGTATTAAAATAATTTCACTGAGGCCTACCTTTATTTCTGAAAAGAAACTGACCATATGTTATGTATGTTTCTCTAATATTATGTATGTTTTTGTAAAGCTTTCAAACCACATTATGTATCAGTCACTCCTAATGTGAATTTAGATTACCTAAAAAATAGACGCTGTAAACAACTTCTGTGAATTGGCCTTGCACCTGCAAGCTGTGATTAAAAAAAAAAGTAACCCACAGATAATTCTCTATGAATTGGCATGCAGACATATGACATTTTAAACAACATCCCTAATTTCTGACCTTGAGGGGATAATGTAACAGAGTTGTCTTTTTTTAGGCACTGCATAATCCAGCGTTTAGTTTGTAAGTCTAGCTAAGAAAATCACATATAAACTCTGGACTTCTATTCACCCAATGAGTAGCACATCCCCTCCAGCCTCTGACACTTTCTAAGATTGAGGCCATGCCCAAGATAAAGACTGAGTCTTTGTCCATTGTCACTGACCTCAAGCCCCAGGTAAGAGCCATGATCAAGCCTACCTTCTCAGACCACTCATTAAAGATATATGCCTGAAGTCCAAACGTTTGTATTCTAACCATTGGACACGCCTTATATTATTCTGGTCCTCTTGTTCTAATTGTATTTAGATTGCCTTTTGCGCTTCGCTGGAGCCCTGATGGTGTACTGTGCTAGGAGTTGGGCTGCTAACAGCAAGATCAGCAGTGCAAACCCAACAGCCACTCAATAAAAGAAAGGATGAGATTTTCTACTCTTGCAAAGATTTATCATCTTTGAAACCCACAGGGTCAATTCTACTTCCCTTATAGGATTTCTATGAGTCAGAATAGACTAGATAGCAATGAGTTTTGGTTTAAGTGTGGCTTGTTATGAATTTCTTGCAATAAACTAAATGAGTTTCTGCACTACAAAATTGAGTGTATATTTATTTTAAAATAAAACTTCATGGGAAACCAGGTAAATGATTTAGGAGGGCAAGAAATAAAATTTCATTTTGAATTTGATGTCTGGTCATATGTGGTATTCCGGGTAGACTAGAGAAACCAATTCATAGACATTCATATGTGTATAAGAAAGAGCTTTATATACAAGAGCAATTGAATACTGAAAAAACATCCCAGTTCAGTCCAGATCAAGTCCATAAGTCTGATATTAGCCAATATGTCTGATACCAATCTATAAAGTTCTCTTCAGACTCATGAAACACATGCAATAATGCAGAATGCAGGAAGATCACAGGCCAGTGGGTGGGAAGTCTTGTGAATCCAGTGATGTGTAAGCATCTCCACACTGGCAGCAGTCTCAGGGCACTTAGGTAGTTCCATGTGTCTTGTCAGCTGCCATGTCTCCCAGGGAGTGAGCCCTGTGTCCTGCCTCCAGTGAGCTCTTTATCTCTTTAGTGCTTCCAAATGAGGTCATCAAACTGTGGTCTGATTGACAGACTAAACTCCACCCCTTCACTCTTAATCCTCTCATGACAACAGTATATAACCACCACATAATATCGCGGAGAATTTCAGAGACCCTTCTATTTAGTCTATGTCTGTCTCAGTTATTCTGCATGCTGTTTTCTCTCAAGGGCTAGAGTAATGTAATTTATTTGAGTAGAGAGAAATTAAATAGGAAGTTGTATAATTTTCACAAAGAATTTACCATTTTTTGGTGTAGTTAAGGACTGCATGTCTGAGTACATGTTCTATGATTAAGTAAATATAACATCCTAAAGCACATGGGATATGAGTAACAACATCTCTACTTGGGTGGTAAAAATTTTTTGTTGGGTGCCGTCAAGTTGATTCTAAGTCATATTAATTTCGTGTGACAAAAAACAGAGCTGCTTCATAGGGTTTCCTTGGCTGTAATCTTTACAGAAGTAAATCCCTAGGTCTTTTTCCAGCACGGCTCAATGGGTTGGAAATGAAGGACTTAACTTACCAGCTGAGTGTTGGGCCGTTGCATCACATGATTATAATATTTAAAACATTCAATTTTCTAAATACAAACAGGCTATTATTTCATGTCCATTACACAGTATCTCACCACATCCCCCACATCTCCCAAACCTTGTTAATCTAAATCTTAATCTGAATGCTTCATGAATCAACGTTCTTTGGGTTAATCAAGTGCTAAAACTTGAAATCAGTATAGTAAAAAAAATTAAATCAAATCCTTGCTGGCAGTGCCAGCAAAGTACACTTTTCCCCCTACAGAGACAGATCCTATTTCAAAGCCTAAGGGTTCAAAACCAAATTGTTTTTGTGTTTTACATTTCTAAACAAGTCACTCACAAAACCCCAAATCCACTGCTTTGGGGTGAATTCCAACTCAGGGATTCTATATGGCAAAGCAGAGCCGCCCCACAGGCTTCCCACGGCTGTTAAGACTTAGGGAAACAGATGGCCTCACCCTTCGGTCCGTGGCTAGTGGTTCCGATGGCCCAATTGTTCAGTCAGCAGAGTGCTTTAACCACTGTACCACCAGGGCGCCTGAACAAATCCCAGTACTTAAAAAACGCCCCAATGGCCTTATAAGAAAGGCATTCTCTCCCTCAGGCGAGGAGGAGACCACCTTCGAAGGCACTGAGTCCCGGAAAGAAAAGCTGGACTCGCCTCACAAGGGGCTTGAAGGCCGCGGACCCGCGTACTCGTGATCGGAACGCGCGGAGCGCGGGAGAAGGGCCCACCAATCGGAGAGCAAGTTGAGAGCCGGCCCCGCCCCTGCGCGCCGGGCTCCGCCTCTTTCCCCTGAACCGCCCTTTGGAAGTGGGAGTGCGCGTTGCCCTCGTCCCGCCCCTGCCTCTGAGTGACAGGCCCGTGGACAGCAACGTTGTCAACCGGACGCGAAGTTGGGCGGCCCTTGCCTCGGCTGAGCTGAGCTGAGCGGAGGTGTGTGCGTGCGTGAGAGAGTGAGGGTGAGGGAGGCCCTGCCTTGGAAGCTCGGGGTCTGGCTCTGAGAGAGGGCGCACCTCCTTAGAGAGCCCCCAAACCTTCAAGAGACTAGAGACACTCGGGCGGGCTGCGCGGTGGGAGGCTTTGAAAGAGGAACCTGGAGCCCAGGAATCGCTGGATTCTAGTAATCATTTAAGGATCCCTTTCCGGGGGGCGGGGTGGGGGCTGGGCTCTCTCAGTGGGGGCAGGGCTTGGCGGGCGTGGGGTGCGCGCGACCGAGGACGTGTCCGACGCTGTTGCTAAGGAACACGCGATTTCCCGCCCTGCCAGCGTGTCTCTATCCCGCCGCTGGGCCCAGCCAGCAGTCCCACCCTCCTCCTGAGGCCTTCCACCAGGCTGGCTGGGGATTGGCTCCCGCGCGCTCTCAGTTAACTCAAGGCATTGTCCCCCGCTCCTGCTCGCTGGATGGTGTAGTTCCTGGGCTGGAGTCCGTCCCTGAATGCTGCCCTTCCACCCTCCTGCCTTGTGAATGTACAGACGTCCCTACACCAACACGTTTCCTGGGGGAGTTTCTTACAGGAGGGTGTGGCTCTATGGAGGGGGCGGTACTTTTATGTGCCTGGTAAATCCAAATCCTCAAGATACTGGTGGATGGTTAGTGCAAAAGGGATAAACCCCATAAAGCTCCTTCTACCCAAAGTTCTTTTTCATCTTGCTTCTCTTCTCAGTAAGTCTATACAGGCAGCGAGGCAGCTCATTCCTGGAGGGATCCAAATAGGAGATCAATCGCCCTTTCTCCTCCCCCTTTGGCATAGAGAGGTTGTATTGCTCCTCCCAACAGGGTTTTATTTCGCTTGGCCCACATTTGACAATGATCAACAAGATGATTTCCAGGAGTCACCATTTCAAATCTCTTCTCTTTTGCTCATATCGGGTGGCCCGAAATGACTTAGCTGAACAAATATTAAAGAATCAACTAAAACCAAAAAGCACAGGAGCTGAAAGTCTGCTTTTGCTTCCTTTGGCCCAGGGTACAGTGGAAATGTCTAGGAAGAAAACTTGTGCAAATTCTTAACCCTGGGAAGAATGTTGGCCAGGAAACTGGCAGAGGTTTGAAATGTTTGTTCTCAAGACTTTTCTCACCTGTAAAATGGAAATATAAACATACACCCTTATAAAGTATCAAGGAATCTTGGTTGTTAAAGTCTTTTTAAATAACTGTCTTTTTTGAATTTTAGCTTTTTATTGTGCATTGGCTGAAGAGCTGCAGAGCAAATACGTTTTCCAGTTATCTTTTCCAGTTAATTTGTTCACCTTTTACTTCAGGTCAGTGGTTGCATTCTCTACGGTGTAACCACGCTTACGCCACTACTCTGTGTTTGCATTTGCATTTCTCCTTCTTTCCCAACCTTTTTTGTCCTCTGAATTTTGTCTTTGGGGACATGCTACCCTTCTGTTCTCAATGGTTCATTATCTTAAGGAATGTGTACCTCCTAAGTGTCACTGTTCACCTTGTAGACCTGTCTATTCTTTGGTTGAATACTGAAAAGTGATAGTGAATTGAGTTTTAGGTCTGAAGGGTGATGATTAAGGACCTTTGATTCGGGCATTCCATTACCCTCTTCACCAGTAATCCTGACCTTTGAAAATGAGTGTTGCTAGACAGTTTTCTCCCACTATATCCAGGATCTTTTAATGTGGTCCTTTCTAGAGTGGTCGGTAGTGATGGGTTGGCACCATCTGGTGTTTCTAGTTCCAGTACCATCGAGGCTGATGTTCACATGGTCCATTAGTCCATTGGACTAATTGTTCTAATGAATCTCCTGGTTTCTTTTACTCTTCCTTGTCTGGAGCCGGAGACCAATAGTTATATCTTACATGACTATTAGCAAACCTCTAAGACTCCAATAGCTGCTCAACAAAGTAGGGTTTACAACACGACTATGGATTATGTTAGGCCAGTGGACCTAAGAGACTATGGTCCATGGGAGCTAATGTTGGGAACACATAGTTCAACATTGCCTCACCCAGAGCATTAGATATCCTGGAGATCTAATACAAAATGGTACTGTTTGGTTACAGATGCTTAGTTTTAGCCTAACCACAAAAGGTAGGTCTATCTGAAAGGTTAGCATTGAGCTTTTAGAATTAGTCAGCCATTTTTATTGTAGACCAGATACCTCTTTTTGATTGTACATTCTGTATCAATAGTTACAAAATTTGCAGACAACTTATATTCAACAACTTCAATTTTGGCAAAGATTAAAGGAAGATTGGTATAATCCAAAAAACATTTGTTTTACAGATCTGAATATATAATATTCAAATGACTGATTCAATATGACTAAAATATTCCAGGATATAGATTAATGAATTATGTCAAAGTCCTGTTAAAGTCCTGATTGCATACAATGGAGCTTTATACAAATTATGGAAAATAGAACTAAAAGATAACTGGATTTCCCACTAACTTTTTGAAGACCCCTCATATTATAACTTATAATTTATAGTAGATTGACGGTGACCAGACTAAACATTTTAGACTTTCTTTCTATAGTAGTATTATTGTTTGCCGGGCTATGTAATATTTCTAGGCATAAAATTTTCCGTATCTATGAAAAGAAGATTTGTTGTTCTCTGTAGTTTTTCTGAACTAGAACAATATGCTTGAGCATGTTAACAAATTCCTGATAGTCACAGAATTCAGTATAGCCCTGAATCTCTTTGGGAAATGTCTTAACAGCTTTTTTTTCTTTTTTTTTCAGAATGAGAAGGTTTAATTTGAAGAACTTCCCTTTTAGTCATTCTGTTTTATTTGCTTCCCAAGGGGTGTATTATTTGTTTCCTTTTTCTTCCTCAGCAATGCGTTCCACTCCTGCTACAACTTATAAATTTGGAAAGCACAGGACTAGATGATCTATCAGAGCTTTGTTAGTACCAAAATATTCTGCATAAATTTAGCACTTGAAAATGATTCAGTACTGGAAATCCGCTAAACCAAGGAAAAGTCAATCAGCAAAAGACATACAGGCATACCAGTTTTGTAGGACTAAGAATTTGGTTCAACGTTAATTGTTCTTTCTGAAAATAGCCAGGTAAATAGGTGTTACACAAGCCCCTGTATGTGGGCAATTAATTTCAGTAATGGAGGGGACATGATTTAATGATGCTTATTCATTGATTGCATTAATCGTACCTACACATTATAGGTATACATCATACCTGTGCATTAAAATCATATTTATTTAGGTCCAAATGACTTAAAGAAGCCTGAGCCATGGAGTTTCCTATCTTTAGGACCTCCTGGATTTGTAAGAACATCTGTGAACAAGAGAGGGTTGGAACTCTTCCTGATATAGCTTCTTGATGCATATCTGATGCACCTCTTCACTGGCTCCTTTTCTGTTTATGATAAATGAGTAACTGTCAGTATAGGTGAAAGAACATTGATGGCACAGTGGTTAAAACACTCAGCTTCTATCTGAAAGGTTGGTGGTTCAAACCCACTCTAGGAGAAAGACATAGCTGACAGCTCTTAGGAAGGTTGCAGTCCTGGAATGCCTAATGGGAAGTTTTACTTTGTCCTTTGGGGTGCAATGGATTTGGTTTGGGAATAAGTGTAGGCTATAGTCTCTGTGAGGTTTGTGAGTTCCTGAAGAGCATTAACAAACCCACAACCCACAGAGACAAATGTGACTCTGATATACTTGGAATGAATAATTTGGAGGAGGCTAGCTAGATCGTCCTAAGGCAGAGTTCTAATTCATTAGGAACGAGCTTTGTGTAGCAGGAGGACAGCAAATATACATTGAAAGTTGACATGACTTAGCCCAAGGGGCTAGAGGAAGAGAACCTAGCTGGTCTGTACCCAAGGTGTTGTGCAGACTCTTCAGTATGCACTAGGTTTCCAGTGGTCTGGCCTTCAATGGCCACGAATGCTTTGACTTAAGTCTGCCTGGGTAAAATGAAATACCATAGAAGAAATGACAGCCAATGAGCATCCTGTGGGAAGGGGAAGCCTGAGTCCATGTACCGGAATCTGATTCATGCGAATTCTTGCCACTGTCGCAGTGTAGTATGGACAGTATCACCTCTTTGAAAATCCAAGATATTTAAACCAAGGGAAAACATTTCAGAAAATTCTGTGACATCTAACACATGCAGAAAACATAAGCTCTATGTTTAGAAGAACTCCACATGATTAAGGGACAGTAGGAAGATGGGGGAATAAAAAAGTTGACAAACTGAAAATGTGAGCGATATATAAGCTTTCTATTTCTCATGCAACAAATTACCAAATATTTAGTGACTTAAACCCATATAGATAATCCAGGGTCATCTCCCTATTTCAATGCATGCACTTAATCCTAGCTACAATGTCCCTTTTGCCATGTAAGCTTTTTATAGCCTCCAGGAATTAGGACTTGGACTTCCTTTGGCCATTATTCTTCCTTACACAATAGAATATTAAAAATACATATTGGATGCAGCAAAGAGCAGAACAGATATTGCTGTAGAGAGTTTAATGTTGAGAAAAGATTAGAGAATCTCTCCTAGTAGAATTTTGAAAATCCTGAAAATAGGGTGATCTATGTGGGACAAGAATGAACTTCACCATATGGATATTTGAATTTTCTGAAGAAGAAGCCAGAATATCGATAATTTTTCATAATGAAGAGAACTGATCATTTCAAAGAAAAACAATAAAAAATGAAATACGAGAAGAAAGACTGCTGAGTGGGCAAAAAGCTGTATATATGCAAGATGAAAAGGCTTCTTTAGTAAAACATGACAAAATATACACTTAAAACCGAAATTTCAAATTAAGATGATTAAAAAAAAATTCCTCACATATACCAGGGGGAAAAACACAAGCTACTACAAGGAAACAAAATTAGTTTTGTCTCATTTCTTTTGTGTAGTTTTAAATGCCAGAAGAGAGCAGAAAAAAGTTCTTAAGAGGTTTTTTTTTCACATTACAGTTAGCATTTTTTGGGTGATAGCAACAAAACTATTCCCGAGTATCTAAATGACTCTGAACTACTTTGATGATATTTTTACTGGGTGGAGGAATGGGAAACAACAAAATCTAAGACAAGACGCACATAAATTAAGTGATAATGCAATATAAACACAAAAACCCTAGTCTAAAAACAGTAAAATTAACGGTATACCCTTTGTACCTAGAATACAGAGGTAACTATAAAAGGGGCCATGGTGATGTTTTGGGTATGCATTGGGTTGCGATCCATGGTTGGCAGTTTGAAAATACCAACAGCCTTGAGAAAGAAATATGGCTTTAAGATTCTCACAGGGTGTCTGTCGCTGTGTTGACTAGATGGTTGTCTGATAAATACAAGTAGTACTTCAGTTAAATCTAATTACAAAGTGATTGCAAATGTAAAAACTTCATAGCATGGAGAGATAGGAAATATAAAAATTCAATAGCAACCTGGCTTTAAATAAAAATTTGACATCTGATTTGTGCATGCCAGAAGTAAAACTTGTTGAATCGAGAGTACTAATACATTTCAAACTACAAAGGGACTTCAAAAATGTCACAGAAAGGAGTTCCATTATCTTTTAATTCTATTTTTTCACAACCTTTAGAAGCCCTCCTTGCCTATCTAAATCTGACCATGGAGCACATTTGGCTTACTGCTTGTTTATGTGCAACCCATCGACTAATATTGGTTTATACATTTGAAAATGGTTGAAAAAGAAGGGGAGGAAGAATATTTTGTGACATGTGAAACTGTATGAAATTCAAATTGCATTGTTCCTAAGTAAAATTATTTGAAGCTAGGCACACATTGGTTTATGTACTGTCTTACTGCTATGGTCAATTCAGACTTTTGGACATACCATGTTTTACGATAGAACTTCTCCTTAAGATTTTCTTGGTGGTAAGCTGTACAGAAGTAGATTACTAGGACTGTCCCACACAGTGTTGCTAGGTGCATTTGAACTGCCAACTGTTAGGTTCATTGTTGCATATAAACCATCTCTGCCACCCAACAGAGACAGGGAGCATTCTCATTGCTTGGTACAGCTGATCAATGCATGTATTAGTTCTTTTTCTTTTAAAAAAATCATTTTATTAGGGGCTCATACAACTCATCACAATCCGTACATACATCAATTGTGTAAAGCACATTTGTACATTCAGTGCCTTCATCATCCTCAAAACATTTGCTCTCCACTTAAGCCCCTGCATCAGCTCTTCATGATTCCCCCTCCCTCCCTGCTCCCCCTCCCTCATGAACCCTTGATAATTTATAAATTATTATTTTGTCATATTTTACACTGTCCAGTGTCTCCCTTCACCCAATTTTCTGTTGTCTGGCCCCCAGGGAGGAGGTTATATGTACATCCTTGTAATCAGTTCCCCCTTTCCACCCTACCTTCACTCTACCCTCCCAGTATCGCCACTCTCACCACTGGTCCTGAGGGATCATCCGCCCTGGATTCCCTGGTTGCCAGTTGCTATCTGTACCAGTGTACATCCTCTGGTCTAGCCAGATTTGTAAGGTAGAATTGAGATCATGATAGGGGGGAGGGGGGACGAGGAGCAGGGAGGAAGCATTTAGGAACTAGAGGAAAGTTGTATGTTTCATCATTGCTACACTGCACCCTGACTGACTTGTATCCTCCCTGCAACCCTTCCATAAGGGGATGTCCAATTGGCTACAGATGAGCTTTGGGTCTCCACTCCGCACTCCCCCTTATTCACAATGATATGATTTTTTGTTCTGATTATGCCTGATCCCTGATCCCTTCAACACTTTGTGATTGCACAGACTAGTGTGCTGAAGAATGTGGCCTTTGTTGCTTCTGAGCTAGATGGCCGCTTGTTTGCCTTTAAGACCCCAGACGCTATATCTTTTGATAGCTGGGAACCATCAGCTTTCTTCACCACATTTGCTTATGCACCCATTTTTCTTCAGTGATCTTATCGGGGAGGTGAACACACAATGATATGATTTTTTGTTCTTTGATACCTGATAACTGATCCCTTTGGCACCTCATGATCACGCAGGCTGGTGTGCTTCTTCCATGTGGGCTTTGTTGCTTCTGAGCTAGATGGCTGCTTGTTTACCTTCAAGCTTTTAAGACCCCAGATGCTATATCTTTTGATATCTGGGCATGTTTGCTCACTCCTACCCTAAACAATAGAATCTAGTGCATAGAGTTAGACTTTTAATTCAAGGGCTCCACACCTACTGAATGATTACCCTTCAATGCTCTACTTACCTCGGCATCTTTGATTATATATGATTGGGGGTTAAAATCATGAGGCTATTCATTATTTTTATTTCTAGGTATTAATCCAGATTTTATCTTTTCTGTCTCTGTGCCCTAAATAAAACAGATACTGTATAGAGATTTTAGAATTTTATTTCTAAGGACAAATTCGGTTAATTAATACTACAACTTTCCAGTTAGCAGTAATGAATACTTAGTATTATATGCAAAAATTCTACATACTTCCTAAAGACAATATGTGGTAAGGGAATATTATATCAATTAGTTAATCATCAAAGAGTTGTCTGGCAGACACAAGTAAATTTCACAGAGGAAGTGACATTAAACAGAAGCTTGAATGATGCTTGTGAATTCAAAGTAGATAAAGCTAATAATAGGTATTACTTCAGCACAAGAATTACAAAGTCACTAATCTGTCAGTAGGATGGAGTGATTCAGAAATGGTAAAACGTTCAGTGGTTGGAACATAACAATAGTGGCTGGGGCTGAGGCCCTAAGGTCTCTGGGTCCAGGATGAGAATGCCCTGACAGGAGGATCGTTTTAGGGTTTAACAGTAGACCTGATAGACCCTACTTAACGGCAGTGAGTTTGGTTTTGCTTTTGGACCACGATCAGATTGGTGTTTTAGAATTGTAGTTCTCGAACTTTTTTTCAAATATCACACATCCTAAAATCTTATAATCATTTAATGCTATGATTATACCTACAAAGAATAATAGATGCCTTGGGATATACCTACCAGTGCTTTATTTACACCAAACTTTTTCTTGAAGGAAAAAATAATGGTTATGCAGTAAACGACATTAAAAAGTGTATTCTGCAAAAATAACACTACTAGCTATTATAAACTGGAAAGGGTCTTACACTCAATAAAGTGGGGACATGCTGGGTTAACTAAATTCAGACAGGTATTCTATTTAACTTTTTAGAACCCTTTCTGGTAATGTGCTTTGTGAAATAGGGGGATAGCATGTAAAATTTTCCAAATACATTTGACAATGGGAACTTACTAGGGTTAAACATGTAACACATTACCAAAACTGCTACCACAGTGACAGTGGTTTCACTAGGGGGCTGTTGGCGAGTGCAGACTGCATCAAGTGGACACTGAAAGGGGCTAACATGACTAAAATGTTTGTGTAGTTTTTCAGCAGAATTGTATTCTGGTTTATAAAAGTATCTCTTCGTTGTTTACAACAAGAAAATCACTTCATACCTACAGTGCTTAAATTCTATGAATTTACATTTGGGAACTTCTAATGCTCTTTGGTCGGATCTGTCATTGTTACTCAATTACAATTGAGTGCTTCTGTTCAGTTATTAATAATGTGATCACAAATGTAATTCAATACAGAAAGATATGATACTTAATGTTTGTATTTATATAATCTAAGAAATACAACAATTAACAGTTTACAACTACATTTGTCACAGTGTTCTATGATTAAAATGTATAGTAAATATTACTGGGAATTCTATATAGTTTGATATAGGTCTACAGTGGAGTGGGATTAGCACCATAAATTACAGTACTTGGTGACACCAATCCTAATCTACTGTTTCCCCGTGTCTTTATTTTGTGGATGATTAGGGAATTGGCCATCATCCATTTAATATTTTCATATACACTATTTTGAATTGCAGGAAGAAAAAGCAACGAAGAGTTGTAATTTCGGGGATCTGGAATTGAACTGGCTAGGAAAGCGAGCACAGCACACATCCAGAACTCTGTAAAAACCTGGCCTTTGGAACCATTACGACTTGGCAGCCCTCCAGAGTTTAGACTTGGCGGCATCAAGGACACACCAGAAGGTGTGTTTATTTAATTTAACATTTGCCAAAAGGTGTTTTGATTTCTGTTTTTTTCTTTCCCTTTGCTATTCTTGTTTTAGTTTATTTGCTTCTGGCGGTGAACTTGAGTTTGGAACACACTTTTATTCATATGTATGGTGATATAGCAACGAGGAAATGTTTTTAGTTGTGTTTATTTTGCTGTAGTTTTGAAGTTTAAAATAAATGAAACAAAGTCAATAGTACTATAAATCTATATCTGATTTGTGAAGGCATTTGGTATTATTGTCTCATAGGATTTACTGCTAGGTTAAATCTATGGTCTCTCAAAATTATTTGATACATTTTAATATTTTGGTCATATTTTATATTTTAATTAAAACCAATGTCTCTTGGTAGTAAGTAATGAATGTATTAAGGTCATCATAAGATTTAAGTTATTTTGCTTAATTTTGAATATAAATATTGATCAGTTGATATATCTATATTTTAAATCCATTGTGGGGAGAGGTAATATAGCAGAAAACGAATGAATATGAGCTCCCATTATATCTCTGACCCAATTTCTCATCTCCTACTGTTTTCCATTGGTACTTAGAACTCCTCGAAGGCACCCTATTTCAATATGCAATCCAAAGTTCTTAAATTGGTCTACGTGTCACTGGAAGATCTGTCCCCTTGTTATCACTCTAATGCTTCCTCTATGCTCCTCCTCCTTTATTTGCTCTAGCTATAGTTGTTGTAATTTACTTGTTGTTTGTTATGTGCTGCAGAGTCTGGTTGGACTCATAGTGACTCTGTAGGATGTGGGGGAACAAATTGATCGCCAGATCTTTTTTCATAAGGAGCTGCCAGTGCATTTGAATGGGTGACCTTTTGGTTAAGCAGCCATTATGTAACCAGGGCTCCTTTTAAGCCATACTGACCTCATTGACTTCCAGTCACTCACCTTTCAGTTTGTCATACTGTGGTGGCCTTGGTGTTGCTGTGAACGCCAGCAGGGACACTCATGTTGGACAGGCTTTAGAGCAGCACACAGACTACAGACGACTAGAAAGAAGAGCATGGCATCTGCTTCTGAAAAATTGGCTGCTTCCAAACGTATGCACAGCAGCAGAACATGATCTGATACCGTACGAGAAGGTGAGCCCTTCAGTTGGAAGGTACTAAAAATAACTGGGAAGAGATGCTTCCTCAATGTGTAATCGACATTAATTATGTGTTTGGAGTAAGACTTTCAAGCAAGGGTTTATCTGCTGATGGGGGTACAATTCAAAATGAAAAGAAATAGCTGCAAATACCCATGAGTATGTGGAAGGAATGAAGTATGAACTTAAAATTGTGAAAAATAAAAGAGAACACATAAAAACCAGTATCTTAATAATAGTGACTGAAAATGGACTAATATTGTCTATTGTGAATCAGCCAATAATATGCTGTACTATGTCACAAATAACAAATTGAAGAACAGTGGCATCACAATCAATGCCAAAAAGAACATCTTAAGATCTATCCTGAAGTGCAGTGCTGTCAGTGATAGCATTAATACCCATATGCTTATAAAAATTACCAGCTAATTTGACTATTATTCAAATTTACACAAGAGCCACTAAAGCTAAGGATGAAGAAACTGAAGATTTTTACCAGTTTTTGCAATTTGATATGGATCAAACATGCAACCAAGAAACATTGGTTGATCTTTAGAATGCAAAAATTGGAAAGAAGTGTCAGTAGCTGGAAAATACACCCTCGGTGATAGAAATGGCAGTAGAGATTACATGATTGAACTTTGCAAGACTAAATATTTATTCATTGCAATATTATTACTTCCAGCTTACAAATGAAGCTCTCAAGTGCTTGATGAACAATAACTGTAGTTTAGTAGTCTTTGCCTACACCGTAATTCAAAGAAACCAATTCTTCCCTATTGTTACCTTCGAGTTGACGCCTACCCTTAGCAGCTTTGTGCCCAACAACATAAAACACTGCCTGGTCCTGTGCCATCCTCACAAGTGCTCTTATACCTGAGGCCATTGTTGCAGCCACTGTGTCAATCCTATTTTTTGCTGCCTCTCTGCTTTACCAAGCTTGATGTCCTTCTATATGGACTCGTCCCTCCTAATGTCCAAAGTGGAAGTTTCACCATCCTTGTCTCGAAGGAGAACCCTCGCCATACTTCATCCATGATAGATTGGTTTGTCCTTGTAGCAGTTCATTGTGCTTTCTATATTCCTCTCCAGCACTACAATTCAAATGCATAGATTCTTCTTTGGTCTTCTGTACTCGATGTCCAACTTTCACGTGCATCTGAGGCAATGTAAAATACCATGGCTTGGATCAGGCACACTTTTGTCCTCTAAGTAACACCCTTGCATTTCAATATTTTAAAGAGTTCTAGTGCAGCAGATCTACCTAATGTAAACCATCTTTTGACTGCTGTTTCCATGGGCATTTATTTCAGATCCAAGAAAGAGAAAATCCAGGCAAGACAAAAGCAAAATACCCAGTATCCATTAGAAAGCCTTATAAAGGTACATCTACTCTCCACCCCAGAATAGTTGTTACTGTGATAAAAAAAAGTCATTTTATACCAGAGAAAACATTTTCAAAACTGTCATATTTAGTGATTTTAGAAAAACTTGTTTTAATAAAAAACTTAAAGTAATGAAAATTTAAAGTTTAATTTCAAGAGGCAATAGAAACATGATTTGATATTCACAGCATTTTTATCAAAGGTTTTTTGAAGACTGTCATTATTTGTAATGTAAAGGAATATAAAGATTATTATAAAGTTTTATTACTTGTTCTTCATTCTGTTAGGCCTAGAGTTATTTTAAGCATTTAGGAACACTAAATTTATCACTGCAGATTAAAATGTTGATGTTCTCATTCTAGTGGAAGGAAATATATTGACCTACACAAAGCAGGTGGTAAATATATACACCAAGGGGCATGAGGAAGTTTGTGGAAAAATCCCGTTATCTTTTAATTCTGTTGTTCCATGAACTTTTTGAAGCCCTTTCATAACATCAAGAGCATAACTCCTGAGGTGTGAATGGACAAATTGGTGGAACATTAACCTAAGAATATACTTTTTATACTGAAGAATAGTATAGTACTCCTCACGAAAAATAGAGATTCATTTGTTGGCTTTAAAAGTGGGGGTATAGTATTTAAATTATTTTGTTGTTGTCCAGAAACCTTCCATTTTAGAAAATAAATATTTTTAGTACAGATTCTGCATACACACTAAAACCATGTAAGTGACAACTCTATTAAGCTAGAGTTTCCTGCATTTAGTGATTGTGATAGTTAAGATTTTGTATCAATTTGACTGGGCTAGGATTCTCAGTGGTTTGAAAATTAGATTAGTAATTTCCCATGATGAGATTTAAAATAATATAATCACTTCCATAGAGGAACTTGCTTGATTTTTGCTGGGTCTGTCAGGATCCTGCATCTGATTTATCATCTGACCTCTGTTTCTTTGGACTTGAGCCAGTAGCCTTACATATTGCCAGCCATTCCAGGGAGTTGTCAGCACCTTGCCATTTTTACCTGCCAAGTTTGAATTCATTCATTTCTGCCACCAGAAGTCTGCTATCTGCAGTTGTTCAGTTCATCAACTCCCGTGGCTATGAGAGTCAGAAGCCTCCAGCTTGACATCTTATCCACACCCTTGGATATAAACTTCTCTTTCATGTACACATACGAACGTCACTGTTTTTGTTTCTCTAGAGGATTCAGCTTAATAATGTGATAAAAATGTATGTGTCATTTAGCATCTTTAAAATTATCCAGAGATACTGATGACAGAAGAAGATTAGACGATCAAATAGTAGTGATAGTTGTCCAGTTTATATGGAATTAAACCATTTCTTACTTTCCTCGAGTGAGTGCTGACAGTGACCTCCTGGTGGGTTCTGAGACTGTAACTGTAGATGGGAGTAGAAAGCTCAATCTTTTTCCTGAGGAGCTCCTGGTGGTTTCGAATTACCAATCATGTGGCTTGCACCTCAATGTATATCTACTACCCAATCAGGGCTCCTATAATTAAGCAATTAGATGGCTAGTGTATTCTGAGACAATCCTGATGCCTTAGAAGCTTAAATATAAAAGAGTTCAGTGATTTGTGTATATGTGTATATGTGTGTGTGTTTGTGAGTTTATCAAGTGAAGGTTATTTTGGGGTCTAAAATCTATTTGGGCTGTACAGCACCTTAAGAGTGAGAAATTGATTAGATTAGCATGGTGCAGTGATACTACTAACATTTATTGAACACTGACTATGTGAGAAGCACTATGCTAACTACTTTACATAGATTACCTATTTAATTTAACTTTACAACAGCCATATGTGATAATTACATTTACTGGACCAATTTTAAAAGTGGAAAATGAGCTTAGGTTAGTTAACAGCTAGGAGGTGATGGAACCTGAAGTGAAACAAGTTACAGTAAGGAAGAGTTACCCACTTCTTATCAGGCTTGTACATAATATAAAATTCAGTCAATTCTGAGTCATGGCAAGTCTGTATGTAATCTATTTGTAGACAAGATAAATAGCTTATGTTAATATTTTAAAATCCCAAACATTAAAATTTAATAAATAAACGGTAAATATAGCTGTGTTAAGTTAATAAAGCTATATTCTAGCAATTATTTATTTACTGAAAAATGTATGTTGAATATATCCTGTATGCAAGGCATTATTCTATTGTTTGGGATTCCTCAGAGGAAAAAGCTTAAAGATTCCTGCTTTCATGGTACTATATACCATCTTTTATGATACTATATTATAGCTGGAGGGAAAGTAAAAATAATCAACTAAATTTAGCATGAAGAAAATTTTTTCATATTTTAAGTCTACTAGTTGAATAGACATCTAAGGTAAAATAACTTTAGTTGTCACACTGGCAATCTAATATTCACATAATTGCAGGGTGTCTGCATCAAAGCATGAAAAAGATGAACTACTGATTGCTATAAAATTATTATTTCAATTAATTGATTTGAGATTAA